TATATATATATATATATATATATATATATATATATGATGCAAAATCAGAGAGATCTTCAGAGGAATATCCATCAGATCTGTACCACAAACTGATTTTTTAAAAGAGTGATAGAGAATGGGACAATCAAATTATGATATGATGTCACATCTTATCAAAACAAATATATCCGCTTTCAGATAAGTGGCACAGCCAGTATCAATCCAAAAGCACGAAATATTGAATGAAATATGAAATAAAACCTAGATCTAACAAAATAACTGAAAAAAAGAAAAAAAAAAAAAAAAAAAATAAGAATGAGAAAAATACTTGGCCAGGCCAGTTGGCTCGGCAAACCTGAGGCTTCGAGGCCTCGCCCATATCAGAACAAGCTGAGTTTATACCGTGCATCCTCTTTTGTCTCTCTCTTCATGTTTTGACCAGGCTTTGGCTTGGTAGAATGGGCTGCTTTTAGGTTGTAGGTCTTCTTAAATCCAGGGTTTGCTTACGGTTTTTTCTGGGTTCTCACTATCTTTCCTATATGTTCCCCTTTTCTTTTTCTGATCTTTTTGGCCTATACATCCCACCCAAAAAGAGGTACGACAGTGCACACCCCCCTCCCCTAAGAGGTACGTGATAGTGCTTTTTTTATAAACTCAAAAGGGTTGTGTAGAATGGGTAACTACTAAAACCTATAAGATTTGTTCGAGGTAAAATGGGTACCTGAGTTGTGTAGAATGGATAACTACTAAAACCTCTAAGATTTGCTAGATATAAAATAGGTAACAATTAAACACTACAAGATTTGCTAGGATGGGGACCATGGATTATTGTGGTCTATGGTTTAGGGGTCTACTGAAATAGTGTGGTCTTATGAGTTCAGAAAAACCATAGAATTTGCTAGTTTTAAAATGGGGTATCTACAGTTGCCCCTCTTTGGCACTCCCTATCTTTCGAGAAATAAGTGAGTGAAAAAAAGTAATTAAAAGTAGGTTTAAGGGGAAAAAAACAATAATTACCCAAATACTAATTAATAACCAACGGTAGTTTGAATGCACTTGTCTCGTGGACTTTGTTATTTTTCTAATCCATAAGGTAAGAATAAGAAGAGCTCAAATACCCAAATTACATGGGTAACATCTTTCCAGAGAAGTAATAAGGGTATCTAAGAAAAGAGCCCCGGCATTTAATTGTCTAGTGCTTGATGATTTGCAACATTATGTCTTAGACTCAATTCCTACCTAGAGTAGGGGCCTTCCACCCACTAACTCACAAAAAAAAATAGTAACAATGGTATTTTGAAATCTCACATTTCATTGACATGGTTCTCTGTATTTATTCACCAAATAAATACAGTAGGTAAAACACCCTAATATTCTATATTCCTCAACGCAGATAATTGAATTACCCATGTTTTCACTTTTTTTTAACTATAAATAGACTACTGAAGATAAATGGTCAAAAGATTGTGATCTGCATCAACAAAAGATAAATGGTATCTTTATATATATTTTTTTTCAGATAAAATGATCTATTTGTAGACAATCCCAATTTTTCAAAGACATGTACAGCGTGTTTGAAAAATTTCCGTTTTTTTTTTTTTGTTCTTTTGTCTAAGCATGATGATGCCAATTCACCCCTATTCAGGGTAACGGAGCACTGGTTTGTATTGAACCTTAGAAAATTGGATCGTCTATGTTCACTCTTCTTATTCTAATTTTTTCGAGGACGCTTTTTTTTAATTTGTTTTTTATCTTTTTTTTCTTTTTTTTTTTTGAGGTACGATATTTTGCACTCATTAGGGGCCTAAAATAGTCATAGAAATGCTTCCGGGTTTTGACCTCTAAGTTTAAAGCAAACGGTTTCTGGAGAGGCAGAGCCATTGATTAACGTTTTCCTTTTATTGTTCTTTTGCCGCCCTCTTTCATAGTCAAGTAAGGCTATGGGGTAATCATACATTTCTCTTGTAAAATACCGGATGTAAATAAGAGAACTAATTTCAAAATTTCATAATCATGGCAGTTTATGAAAAGGAAGTCTTCCGGTTAATATAGGCTGAGTTAGCTCGGACTCGGCCTAGTTACTCAGGCTTGACAAAGATTGTAAAGTATTTTGGTCATAAATATTATTTTTTTTATATTTTTTTATTTTTTTTAATTATTTTGAAAATATCTTCAATCACAACATGATTTTTCAAAATCATATTTTTATTACTTTTTTATTTTCATTTAAATGTGTTTTATTTAATCTTACTTTAAATATGTATTTTCTATTTTTTGGGATTTTTTAAACACTTTTTTTCTGCTAGGCCCAACTCGGGCTGAGTTACTCGGACTTGGGCATCCGCAGAGTACTCGGCCTGAGTCCTTCATTTGAACACTAGTTACAATATTGTCATCCTAAATTTATATTTTTAGTTTTTCTGTCAATCCTAACCAAAGTTTTAAAAATCCACCGATCAAATTGAAACTAGCTGGTTTGGATTGAAAATTGTTAGGGCCAATCCAATTCCACCTAAATATTGGGAACCAGCTGGTTTTGGCCAGTTCTCTTACAAAACTAACCGGTCTATCAGAGAACCGGTCATACTTTACTTATTAATATTTTTCCAATTTTATATTCCCTATTTTTTTTTAAAAAAAATTATTAGCTAATTCACTGAGCCGAACTGCAGATCCAAACTAGTTTTCCAAAGGGGCTATTTGGACCGTTATTTAAACCGTGCTCTACTTCATTTCACTTGCCCTTTTTTTATGGACGAGTAAAGAATGGATTTTGATCTCATAAGGAAGGGAAGGGTGGGGAAGATAAATAGTTAGGGCTAACGATACCATTAATTAAGACAGTAACTCTCCCCAACCCCATGCTACTTTTTCCTAGACAAGTGGAGAATGCTTTGTAATCTCGTCATAATGTGATATTGTTCGTAGCCAGCGGCCCCATTCGAAACGGCGAATATGACCACATGGACCAACGAATTATACAAGTTTTCAAACACAATTATTCGATTCAATACCCTCTTGCTTCTCACTCAATTTTCCTTGCCTCCTTTAGCCAGAAACATAAATGTCCCCACCCATCCCCCAACCTCAATTATTGGATTCTAATTGCTTCCTTTTAGCAGGACACACAGTGTGCCATTTTCGGTTTTGGGTGACTCAGAGGGCTCCTATCTTTTATAGGAATTGAGCCTAGAACATAGCAATGCAAATTATTAAGCGTTGACCGATTAACCTTGGGCTCTTTTCTCCAAACACAATATGCCTTCGGAACAAATCTTCACACAAAATAGAAAAATGGATAATAAAACCAAAAACTGCAATAGCCAATATACAAATGAACATTTCCGTATATTCCATACATGCAAAAAATATTATTCTTATCAAAGACAAAATGTATAAGGAAAACAAAAAAAAAAAACCCTTCCCCACACACCCTGAAAAGTTACACAGCCCACAATCTTAAAGACCCACATAGAACACTATCCAGAAAAACCAATTTTATAGGGAGAAAGAGAATGATCCTAAGATGGAGAAACAAAAGTCTTGTGATCAGACAGCCTTTCCTTGTCCATTGGATGCCATTTCAAAGGCGGCATCGTCATTGTGAGGGAGGATTCTTCCCCAAAACCAGTGTTTCCTCCACACAAGAGCCATCTCTTCAATGGGAACAATTTTGGTTTCGGGCAAAAAGAAGTAGATGAAAATGGTCATAACAAAGACCCATCCGGCAAAGAAGAAGAAAAGGCCGAATTTTAAGTGACAAAGCATAGTAAGGAAGGCCTGAGCAATGGCAAAAGTGAAGAAGAGGTTGGTGGAGACATTGATACTTTGACCGGCTGAGCGAATCTCAAGGGGGAAGATCTCAGAGGGGACAAGCCAACCGAGTGGCCCCCATGACCAGGCAAAGGCCGTGATATAGACACAAATGAAGAATACAACCAGGTCAGCGTATCCTTTGGAGAGCTCACCTGTGCCTGAGATGCCAAATTTTACACCGAGGAGGATGCCGATCAGAACCTGTATGTAATCTAGCAAAAAGCACAATGTAGGAATACATTACACTTAGCAGTATGGCATTCTTGAGATGATAAAAATATAAGAAGTTAGAAATAGGCTCAAAGCTCGATGATTAGGTGGGTCACAATAAATAGCATCTTAAGTTCCATTTCTATTACAAATAAAAGACCCTATAATTTCTATCACGAATAAATGTCCCCACTACTTACCAAAAAAAAAAAAAGAGGACCATCTCCAGGGAACTACCTAAAAATTTAGCAATGAGCTCTCAGTGGTCACGGAACCCATCCCAATTGAAATACCAAAATGAACCTGAGAAGCAAAGGGACATGCTTCCTGCTACAAAATAAATGGATTAGAAAACAAAGGAATATGAATAAGAAACCATGGTTTGTCTATTTAGTGAAGAAAGGGGAATTAAAAGGACATAACGATACCAGCTCATGTGAGAGAGAAGGCTAGCCAAGGTATTATTGTCTCTCGCCGTGAAAGTCAGCGACTTAAAAGATTTCCAAAACGAAAACGACGCAATCACTATGAACCAATGGTTTAAAAAGCGGATCGGTGACTTGGATCGGGCACCTCAAAAACCGATTCAGATTGAGAATCGGTTGAATTAAAGCTTCAAAAAAATTCGAAAAAATTATTAAAATTCATTATAAATATTGTTTTTTAAGAATCCAATAAAAACTAAGGGTACTACATTAATAACTTTCATTTTTTTTATCAATTTGTGAATATTGAGATGCTCTTTCCCTGTATAAACTTAAGTATTAAATTTGCATCACATAAAAGAAAAATCATAGAATTATCATGGATAAAATATATAATTATACATAGACTATAATAAAGAGTAGACTAAATCAATGAAAGAATGGCCATTAAAATCTCGTTTTGGCGAAAAACCCTAATCCGCTAAAAAAACCCAAATTATTACGGCCAAAATAACTATAATCCAAAATTATTACAACTTAACTAATTATAATATTATATGCTGAAATTATAATTATTAGTTTACATTTTATAATTATTTTATTAGACAAATAATAACAAATTAAAAATATTTTACAATATTATCTAATTTAAAATGTATTATTGACAACTGTAAGAAAAATAGTACATTACATGATTTATAATGTAAAAATTAATAAATAAAATAAAAGATTTGGTTATCAATGTAAAAATTAATAAAATGTATACAAATTGTAAAAATAACACTTCAATTTTTCAAAAATTTAATTTTTTAAGTTTCTATAATAAATTTAGTGAAAGAAATTTTTAGTAGAAAGAGGGAGATTTCCAATAGAATAAAATTTTTATTTTTTATTTTTTTATGCCTTTCTTATTATTTACAAAAATAATTATACCACTATATACAACAAAAATTAATTGCTATACAAAAAATTAACCTTTTTTTTTCCATTGTTTATGCCTTTTATATTATTTACAAAAATATTTATACCACTGTATACAACAAAAACTACTATGCAACATATATACAACAAAAACTACAAAATATACAACAAAAACTACTAGACAACATATATACAACAAAAACTACAAAATATACAACAAAAACTACTATACAACATATATACAACAAAAACTACAAACTGTAACGCCCAAGGGGGTTCGACCTTGAGACATCAAAATTGTAACGCCCAAGGGGATTCGACCTTGGGACATCAAAACTGTAACGCCCAAGGGGATTCGACCTTGGGACATCAAAACTGTAACGCCCAAGGGGATTCGACCTTGGGACATCAAAACTGTAACGCCCAAGGGGATTCGACCTTGGGACACATCAAAACTATAGCGCCCAAGGGAATTCAACCTTGGGACATCAAAGCCAAAAACAAAAGTCATAACCATCACGCTGTCTCACTGAATGTAATTATTAGTTGCTGATTAATAGAATATATTTACATTGTTTTTCATTTTATGATGTTTGGAAATTATCTCACATCGAATGATGGGTATTCAACTTTGCTTTATAAATACCTATGTAATATGAAGTAAGGTATATGCACGGAAATATGGGGCAACTTCACACGTGGTATGTGGCACGTGATTTTGTCACACGTGTTCGCTTGTCGCACATGTTCGGATACGTGTTCGTATGTCCGTGTCAGCGTGGTGTCATCAGAACCGCCGATTGATGATGTCATCGGGCGGTTTACTGTTTAAAACCGCACGGTTCTCTCTAAACACGGGCGGTTCCCGTTTTATGTGTGGTCCCGACTCGTTCGGTTTTCTCTAGATACGGGCAGTTCCCATTTTAAGTGTGGAATCGGCTCGTTCTGTGGCGATTCTCGAGTCGAACCGGACGAGTCCGACTCGACTCGGCATTTCTTTAAACCCTGATATGAATATTTAATATCCAAAAAGACCCAAGCATTCTAGCAAGGAAAGATCTTTTCAAAAATCCCACCCTTATCTTTTCAAAAATCCCACCCTTCCAGAAAATGAATGCTATATCACTGCCTTGAGAAGTGTTCGAAGCCAAGAGTCAGGCACAGGCCAGGTGGAGTTACCCAGATTGGGTTGGGTAGGTGGAGTTACCCAGATTGGGTTGGGTAGGTACAGGCTAGGCTAAAAAGTGTTTAGAAAACATATAAAAAAAATTTTAAAAAAATATGAAAAAATATCTTTAAAGTAAAATCAAATATAAAATAGGAGAAATATATAAAAAATGAGTATCTATAGCCACAACATTTTCCAATAATTGTAAAAATGGTAGAAAACTTTAAAAAACACATTAGGTATAATGTTTTATTTTTTTAGATTTTTTAATAATTTTCTTAAATTTTTTAAAAATCCCAATCTTAACCAACAAAACAAGGCTTAACCAAACCTACCCGAGGTCGAGTACCTAAGGTGGGTTGAGCCGACTCACCTATTTTTGCAAACCTAGATAACGTCTAGAGATGGAAAAAAACAAGAGTTATATGTAAGAACTTGCAGAAAGCAGCGCCTGATGATCTGACAACAAATAAATAATCTTTTTTCAGTTATCAAAAGGTTGAAAAGAGACCCTCAAATTCGTTAAAAAGACACAAAAGTGAGAATCATGGATATCATGCCAATAGTGATAGGGAGAGAGAGGCAATGCTAATTAACCCTAGAAAAAAATTAGCAATAGAATGAATAAAACATAAGTAAAAAACAAAGAAATCTTACCTGGGAAATTAACATCTGAATCCCACCCACAGAAACAAGAATCTCCTCCCAAACATATCCATTGTAAAGATGGACAAAAATGTGGCGACCACATTAACCACACCGGTAATCACTGCAGACATCAGTGATGCATTGCTACCGAACCCAATTGTCTTAAAAAGAACAGGTGCATAAAACATGATCACATTAATCCCAGTCAACTGCTGGAAGAATGGAATTGCAAGTGCCATCACAAGCTGAGGTCTGTACTTCCTCCGAACAATGTTACGCCACGGGTACTCCACTTTCTTTGAGGCCTCGCTAGCGTCAATGAGGTCCTGAAACTCCTCTTCAACATCATCAGCACCACGAATGCGCTTGAGCATGGCATGGGCCTGGTCAGGGCCGCCACGCTCGATGAGGGAGTTGGGAGTGTCTGGAAGGAAAAGGGATCCAATGGTGATGATGGCAGCCGGGACAGCAGCAAGCGCAAGAGACACACGCCACCCCCACCCACCCTTGATCTTGGCAGTGCTGTAGTTCACAAGGTTGGCAGCCAGGATGCCAATTGTGATAAAGAGCTGGAATCCAATGTTTAAGCCACCCCGAAGCTTCGCGGGCGCCATCTCCGAGAGGTACAGGGGAACTGACTGTAAAATTTTCCATGGAACAGAGTTGAGATGGGAATTCAAGTCAATCCAGATAAGGAGTCCATAGAGAATGTACAAAAGAAAGCAAAACAAAAATTAAAATCATTTGTCTGATATCTAATCTGTTTTAAGAATTTAGACTCTGTAAAACAGAGGACAGGGGTAAGAGAAGAAACTCAAAGCCAAAACAGGGGCTTTTTAGGAAGAGAAGTGGGTTTACAAGTTAAAAAGTAAAAAAAAAACGTTAAAAAAAGTTAAAAGTTAAAAAAAAAAACGTTTTCTAAGACCTAAAATATAATGGGTTCTATTAACAAATTATTCGATGTCCATTCAACATGTGAAAGTGTATTGATCTGCATCATTTCGTAGCTTTAATTGTGAAAATAAATTTTCAATATCTTGAGACCAGCCATCTATCTTCTTTATAATTGAAGTTACGAAAAATGAGGGAAATATGTCAAATTATTCATATGAACAATTTTACACCTTTTATTTAAAATAGGCCAAATATTAAATGCTTAGTCCTTCATTTTGATAAATTTCTAAGAAAATAAAGATGAAAGAAATTAAAATGTGAGACGCGAACAGATTTGACTAGAATCAATGACGGGAATTTCCCGTTGTTTTCATCAAAATTAGATTATCAAAGAATCCAAAAATTAAAATAATTTAGTCTCCTATCAAATTGGGCCACTTGAGTCGTTTAAAACTGGAAAATTACAGAAATCTTTTTTGCCTAAAAACTTACAGGAAAGACGAAAGAAAACGAAAAGTAAAACGAAGTCGTCACATAAAACATGGCGCCACTTGGTTATCCACGCCATTCCGTAGAAACTCGAACCAACTTTTGTCACATTTGGAGAAAATAAGGACCGTTTTTTTGTATTTAAACCGGTGTTTTAAAAATCGAAGAGTCGGATTCGACTCAAGAACGGGCACAGCCGGTGCCGCACGTGTACGTTTGAAACACGTGTGAGGTTATCTTAATATTTCTACACAAACATTTTAGTTTATATTATATACGTATTTATATACCAAAGTGGAATACCCATCTTTTGATGTGAAATAATTTCCAAACATCATTAAATGAAAAGAGAATTTAAATATATTCTATTAATCATCAAATTATAACCGCATATGGTGAGGTGGCGTAGTGGTTAAGACTCTTGATTCGTCATGTGACCTCTCAAGGTCGAGTCCCGCAGTGGGCGTTATTTTTTTGTGTTGTATAGTTTTTGTTGTATATATTGTATAAATATTTTTGTAAATAATATAAAAAGCATAAAAAAATGAAAAATAAAAAATTTAATTTTTTATATAGCAATTAATTTTTGTTGTATATAGTAGTATAATTATTTTTTAAAATAATATAAAACGCATAAAAAATTAAAACATAAAAAGTTTATTCTATTTGAAATCTCTATCTTTCTACTAACAATTTCTTCCATTAAATTTATTATAGAAACTCAAAAAAATAAATTTTTGAAAAATTGAAGAGCTATTTTCAAAATTTGTACGCATTTTATTAATTTTTACATTAATAACCAAATCTTTTATTTTATTGATTAATTTTTACATTATAAATCATGTAATGTACTATTTTTCTTACGGTTGTCAATAATATAATACATTTTAAATTAGATAATATTATAAAATATTTTTAATTTGTTATTATTTGTCTAATAAAATAATTATAAAATGTAAACTAATAATTATTATTTCAGTATATAATATTATAATTAGTTAGGTTTTAATAAGTTTGGATTATAGTTAGTTAGGCTGTAATAATTTGGATTTTTTTAGCGGATTAAGGTTTTTCGTCAAAACGAAATTTTAATAGCAATTCTTTCATTGATTTGTCTACTCTTTATAACAGTCCATGTATAATTATATATTTTATCTACGATAATTCTATTATTTTTCTTTTATGTGACGCAAATTTGGTGGTTAACATAAGTTTATACAGGGAAAGAGCATATCAATATTCACAAATTGATGAAAAAAATGAAAGTTAAAAATGTAGTATCTTCATTTCTTATTGGATTCCTAAAAAATAATATTTATAATGAATTTTAATAATTTTTTCGGATTTTTTTGAAGCTTTAATCCGACCGATTCAGCCGATTCTCGATCCGGATCGCTGATTCATCGATTTGAATCGGTTTTTAAGATACCCGATCCGGCTCACCGATCTGCTTTTTAAAGCATTGATTTAAACATACAACATAAAAAATTTCAAAACGATGATACCTCATGTAAACGGAGACTCTAATAACGCTGCATACTACATGGAAAGTAAAGCCACTGTGAACATTAATTTGCAAGAGGCCACAAAAACAGGGGTATGCATATAAATATCTCAAACAAAAGAACGAAAAATAGTTCTGCTTTCAAAGGGACATGTATGATGGAAAAGTGACATTGAATCAGATCCGTACAGTTACATCTGAAAAAGCTTGTGTAGGAACACGATTTCTGACAGGGCATATAAGTCATTACAGACAACATGAAATCATATATTTAAGAGGCACAAATAAAACGTGTACATCGAGTACAGTGGCTTTGAAATATGACAAATACATGGATATTAATTAATAAATAAAACAGAAAATATATAACAATGGCAGGAAAGTGAACAGATTTCGTGCAAAAACTTGGGAAGTCTTCGGAAGGGAAGAGAGAGAGAGAGAGAACTGTTCATTGTTTTCAGATTTAAGATTTCAAAAGCTATAATGGTAAGAACACTAAATGAAAATTAGCCCAAATTTGTAGAAAAGCAAACCCAAAGAACGTGGGAACAAGAAAGAAAAATAACGTCAAGGAAATAGATATTAAATTCCATGTAATGATGATCTAAGATCTCAAATCAATTAGGAGAAAAAAAATTCATGCAAATAAAACACCATTACATTAAAACTCTCAAGTACTGTCTACTGAACAAATCGACACGACAGAGTTGAGAAACTGGACAGAAATATTTCAAAACATAGATGCAAATCAAGTGAATGCAAATTTAGAGAGAACGAGGTGACCTGATTTGCAAATCCGACTCCAATACCAAGAAGGATGCGGCCTATGATAAGCATGGCTACATCTTTAGCTGCGCCATTAATGGCGGCTCCTGCCAAAAACGTAACGCCACCGAAGAGCATCGAAGGCTTCCGACCAAACCTGCGAGTGACCCACGATGCAAAGAAAGAGGCGATCAAACCAGCAACATACAGAGAAGACATGAAGGTAGTCAGTAACTGACTGTCAAATTTACAGTACTGATTTCCAGAATCCGTATCTCTCTGCATCTTATC